TGTCACCAATTGTCCACATATTCTCTATTTCAGGCACTCGTGAAATACTTTCACCAGAATTTCGGTTAACTTAACCCCAATATTAAACTCTGTTTATTGTACCCAAACCTCACAGACAAAGCCCTACACTGTCCCAAATAGCCCTCACATATTCTGTACACTAAACACATACATACAGTCCCCATAAGTGGACTCAATTTAGGTCAACACTGACCCCAACTCTGTTCCCCACCGACTATATAAGTCCACACAAACACAAACACTTTATGCTTATTTTATGTATGCCTTATGCTATACACGGTCTGTCTTAGACCCAACTCTCGTACATTTGTACCATTCATTCAATTGTATTTTTTATATTAAGTCAATTGTTACCAATCATTTTCTACAATCAATTTGTATTATCATTTACTTTCGTGATCACCATTTAATTCAATAAAACTGTTTGCAAACACCATCACAACTGCATTCATCATTTATTTTATATTCTGTGTTCACCAAAACATTAGTCCAAAACTAATTACCAAACATTAGTTCAAAACTATTGACAAATTAGTCCAAAAATACTAACAAATCAAACATTAGTTTAAAACACTTTACATATAATATTTAGTAATTTTAAAATTTAATGTTACAGTTTTAACGCTAAATAGATTTTTATTGCTAAACTTGTTGGCAAAATGAACTATAAAGTACGATCCCCGCCCTTAATGCAAACGCTGGCCCGGTTTTTATTTAATTAAATCAAATTTCAAACTGTAATATTATTATTCATTTAATAAATATATTATTTAGTATATTTATAGTGAGTAATAAGGAAGCAAAAAAATTCTACGTAATTTTTAATAATTTATAATTTATAAATGAAACAAATTATACAATTTTAAATAAGAATGCAACAAAATATTATGTTAAAATAAGTTAGTTAATTTTTGACAATAAAATTAAAATAATTAATAAATTATTATTTATATTATGTAATTTATCATATTGACAAGTTCGTCTATTTTTTATAAGACGCATGTTATGTCAATTTAATTTAATGTAAATTTACAATTAAATATAATTGTTTATTTTTAAAATTTAGGATTTTGTTTGTTTTGTTGAATTGAAATATAAATGATTTACTTATAAATAAAAATTTAATAAAATAATCTGTGGGCCAACGTACCAATTTTATATTTGCAAGTTAACTCGTATTGTATTAAATAAAATGTATATTTATGTTTACAGTTTAAAATTGTGATAATTGCAAATACCAAATCAACAAGTTTATTATTTATTAATTTAGTATGTAAATTTTACATTTTAACGCATAAATAAAATGTTAAATTGCTAAATTATAACAATCATTTTATAATTATAATTAATTTATAAACCATTAACCGTTGCGTTACAAATAGTGATTGCGAGGACAGCTAACTGTGCGGTCAAATAGAGGGCAATGATTTAGTTACAAATTAATTCATTAGAGGTTTTATTGCAACAAAAACTGTAAACTATTTATTATAGTTAGTTATATAAAGATACGTTATTTGTATAGTTATATATATTGGCTACCATTTAGATGTGTCCTGACCATTTTAAAAATCAGTTTGTTGAGATAGTTATAATAAACTAATAATTTTAGAAACTTTATAAATTGATCTTAAAGTTACCACCGGCACGGATCTGCACATTTATCCATTTAATTAATCCCAAATATCATAAAGAAGATAAAAATATTATGCTTTATAAAATACTAATATTATATTATTTCATGTTAAACTTATAATATATTTTTTTATTTAAATTACATATTAAAGTGTCAGCATATCAGCATTCAAAAAGTGTCATGATGTAAATAAATTTTTAATATTGCAAAATAATTATTTCATAAAGATTAATCAATATATTTTATAATTTATAATATTATATTTTAAAATAAGCTATTTTTAATTTAGACAAAAATAATTAAGTAAATGTCATAAACTTTTAATTTTTTGTTGCATTTTCGTTCGATAGGATTTTCAATTTATAATTAATTATAACATAACTATAATTTATTGTGCTTTTAATTTCTATGTTACAGTTTGAGCACAAAATAAATTTTTATAAAAGAATCTAATATATTATGTAACACGTCCAAAAGTATTGACAAAACAGAATCGATTAAATCTGTAAAGTGTAATTTTAGTAATTTTAATTTTAGTATTATTAAGTTAATATTATTATTTAAAATAATATAATTTTTTTAAATTAAAAGTTGTAAAAATATTTTATAAAATATATGTTAAGATATTTAAATAAACCAAATACATGTAGCTATGAAGTTAACCACAAATTATACTCTTTTAATGGCATATATCTGTATAATCATAAGATATATGCCGTTAAAAGAGTACAATTTGGGGTTAACTTTATAACTATTTATAATGAAACTATAATATACAGGGTAAATTTAAATTAAAATAAAAATCACGACAAAATATTTATTAAATATACAAGTAGTAAACCCAAGGATATTTGTTATCAGTCATTAGCACCAAATACAAATACGTCTTAATTTATAATAATATAAATTTTACATTTAGCCATTTAAAATAGATAATAAATAATATTTACTTATAATTGATAAGTGCATAGAAATACCATTAAATAAGTGCCAATATCAGTTAAATCAAATATGGCAGAACATGATAGATCAATTGTTACTCATGAGTTAGTAACTAATTCTGATCAACAGATATTGACGGAAAATAAGGAGTACATCTAAATAGACCCTGGGGCAATTTTTTTGCCCTTGCCCCGGGGCAATTATATTTTTGCTTTTGCCCCGGGGCAATTATATTTTTGCTTTTGCCCCGGGGCAATTATATTTTCTGCCTTTGCCCCGGAGCAATTATATTTTCTGCCTTTGCCCCGGAGCAGTTGCATTTATTGCTCTACCTGTTGTCTTTTTTAAATTAAATAATTATAGTATATTAATTGTAAATATTTGGAATAATTGTAAAAGTAAATTAAATTAGAATTAATAAATGTTATGAATTATAACAACAATCATTACATCAATCAATCATTGCCATATGTATTATATTTTTATATAAATCTTTTACTTTCAATTATTTAGTTTAATTAAAAAATAATTTTCATTGTTTAATTAATACTGGCATATTTATTCATCAATATATTATTTTTATTATTTTATTTTTATGCAAAATAAATATACATATGT